AAAGCACTTTTGAACCTAACAAAAGCTTAAAATTTACCAAATGTCCATGTAGGCCAGCAAACAGAACTCAGAAAGCAAAGCACTTTGATCTAACAAAAGCTTCAAATTTACCAAAGGTCCATATAGGCCACCAAACAGAACTCAAAAACCCAAATATGTCTGTATACCATCACAAATATTTTAAAGATTCAATTTTTAACACCTCACAAGTCACAACACACGATTTCTACTTTCCCACCTACAAATTTTGCAGGAAAACTAGATAAGTTAAATAAAAAAAAAAACTCGTTCCACATCGAAACGTAAAATGCCCACCGATTAACCGACATGAAAAACCTTCTCGGTTTCAAATTCTATTTAAAAAATAAAAAATAAAAATAAAAAATTACCCCCGACAAGTATCAGACTCACCGGTAATCAATGGCGGCGGGCCCAAGAGACTCCATCTCGCTCAGAGAAGACAGACGGCGACAAACAACGCCGGTGCATGTGAAATTAGGGCGAGGGAAAGGGGCAGACGTCGAAGTCTCCTGAGAGTGGTTAGAGAGAGATAAAAGTATATAACTTTGGCGTGCTTGAACTGACGACGACGACGGTGGAGGTCTCAAAGCTCTCAACAGCGTTCTTCTCAGTGAATTAATTACCATTTTTTGTCGGAAATTTCTCGTTTCTGATGAGAAGGTAGAAGGGTACAGAAAAAAGAGCTCGGGGCATATTTTGTTGGGTTTTCCTGTTGGGCTTGCCATCCTTCTGGCCTTTGGGCCTATCAAACTAGCTATGCCCTTCAATTTACGTTTTTGGGCTGGGTTATCATAGATTGGTCTTGACCCTTCAACTTTTTGGGCCGGATTATCATAGATTGGTCTTGACCCTTCAATTTTATGATTTAAAAATGTAAAAGGGCATTTTTACAAATGTAACTCAACAAAATGGCATGATTTATATAGAAAAAAATAGTTGAATGTAGTCTCTGTTTTAACTAGTGATTGTTAATCTTAGTTTTCATGATAAAGTGTATGGGTTTTACAATTAGTAGTTAGCGAATATATAGTTTACTTACTGTAAGGCACTACAAAAAATGATAAAACTCATAAAAATATATTTCAATAAATTCCATCGTCAATTTTAATAGATATTCTAATATTATTACTGATGTTGAAATTTATTTCCATTGAATTTTTAAACAAAAATATTTCGTTAAAATCAGTTTTTCATTTGAATTTCTATTAAATTTTGACAATTTGAATAGTAAATTTTGTATTTATCCTACAGCAAGAAAGCTCGGTAAAGGTAGGTACAAAATTACTCTCATTAAATCCATGTGAATATGACTCTGTTGAACGTTGAAACTTGAAACCACACTCTTTTTATTTTTTCTTCTTTATGTTGTCATTTGATTTCTCGATCAGGAACACGCATGGAGGCAAGGCAATGCCCGAAAGGGATTTCGACAACGTGCAATAACAACAATGATTGTAAGAAGGCGTGCAAGGGAAATAAGCGCGAAAGTCGCCTGAATCATCATACATGCGTATGTTCTGAGGAGTGTGGAAATCCGCCTGCAAATGGTTCCAATATTACCTTAGGAGGCTTCTTCTAGGGATATGGTCGGGTCATAGTATGGGGACTCATGCGATAAGTAATGCACAAGTTTGGTTCTAAGGACAGGGCCACGACGAGTTGGAGCATCAACAGTAGAAGAAGACAGGATCATCAGCAGAATTGCGAAAATGGGTGACATAATTATTAACTGCATGTCTAGAATATATGGTTGTATTAAGTGTTCATGTAGAATGTTCAATAAGCTTTATCAATACTGGTTATAGATGAAGAAGAAGAAGAAGAAGAACAGAGGCCATAATTCATTATGAGATATTGTAGGCATAGAATATGGTTGTATGTGTTAATTGTTTATGCATACATATACATATATATATTGGGAAAAATCAATCAACACACATTTTTAGCCTTATATCTACCCGCACTCACACAATTCAAAACCCATACACGCCTTTTTTTTAACATTTAAAGTTGGGCCCAACTTCAATTAACTATATTAAAAATAAATATATCAATTGAGAAATAATTTTTTAATGAATTTTAACAAATATTATTAGTATTTTTTATTATAAATATAATTTATTTTTTTAATATATACAATATGAATTTCAAATCGAACATCATCAAAAGGTGATTAATTTGATATATTATATATGTAAAACTGATAAGAAATACAAAAGTTATCAACTTTTAAAATACATTTACAATTCAATGTCTAATTGAAAGAAACAAATCAAAAGTCAGGATATATTAGTCACTTAGTATATCATTATATAAAATATTAAAATATTTAAATTAGCAAAAAACAATATTTATGGAATATCCTAACCTAGATTATTAATTATTAATAGATCAATATTATTTATTCAAACTTAATTACGAAGCATGATTGTTTGCCAAGTACGATTCCGAAGCACCAGAAGCAACCACGTAAGCTCAGCGCATTCAGTAATTAAATATATAAGGGGGATTGGAAATCGATTAGGAACATGATGATAACTTGTTTCAAAAGAAATCTCATGACTGGGATTGCTTGCCACCTCGTAAATGCATATGCTATGTGAACTGTAAATCCCCTCCTAATAATAATACTACTGCTACTTAATTAGGAGAGGTGTAACAATGATAATAATAATAATAATAGTATTGAATAACAAGTTTGTTATGGCAATATTAATAAATTTAATAATCAATCTGCAGGTGCTTTATGTCAGTCAGTGTGCTTACAATTCATATGCATGTGCATGGTCTCTCTGGATTCAATTGTACTGAGTGAAACAACAATTGGCTTCACAACAAAACCGTCATATCAAAATAATTCATTTAATATTTATATCGGTGCATCGCGTATGTACTAGCTAGCTTTGGATAAAACTAATAATTGGTAGGTACCGTATAACTGTTTGTTAAAAAAACTGAAGCAAATTATGACTGCAACTTAATTGTGGAGCTGGTTACGAAATGCGAAAGTGTGTGCTAATTTATTTAACACAATTACAATTCCAGAAAATTCTAAAATTTCATATGTATTATGATTAAATATGGTTGAATAATACTTCGAAGGATCTTCAAGGTAACTATAGAATAAAGTTTTCTGATGATCTGAAAATCATGTAAATCAAATACTCACATTATGAATAATAAATAAATAAAACGGTCATTAATTTCCAAAACAGAGGAAAGGTGACCAAATTTTCCTAAACAAAAAACACTCATTCCATCCACCTGCTTAACTATAGAATGAAAAGCTAAACCTAAGATGAACACTCAAAACTAACTTGAAAACTTAATAATAATAACTATAGAATCTATCCAATCATGGGTGCCTACGAAGACAATTGAGCTTGACGAGCAACTCGCGCACCAACCATCCCGACATTATACCGTAACCCTCTTGTGTCAAGTGTATCCCGTCCCAGCTCACGAACCAATTCGCATGCCTACAAACCGGAACTCCGTTGGCCCCACACATGCTCGTCATGTTGAAATTGTACTTCCCTCCCGTCCCGCAGCACGCTCTTTCCGAATCGAGACCTTGCACATTAAAAAAAAAAAAGTCGAATTTTAAAACATCAAATTACTTAATTTGTCGCTTGAAGTTGTATATAATTTGTGTGTGTTTTTACGCGTCATACCATGATGTCTGGCGAAATGTAGGAGGAACTCGTAAGCATTGTAATAATCAGCGTACACGATTTGTGCATTCGGTTTCTCTTCTTGAATCATCCGGTTAATCCCGTTCTGCAACTCCCGATTGTGGTACACTGCAAACTCGTTTAGTTGCTTGAGGCAAAGGTTATTGTCATAATCCGACGCATTGTTTGTTTGGAAGGCAGTCTTGTAAATCGGGAGGCAGCCGATCGGGAAGTTACCGGGCACAACAACTCTCTTTGCCCCCAGATCAATTGTTCTCTACAAAAATTTGTAAGAAAAATCAAAAAGCAGAACCAACATTAAGTAAAATTATTTCCTTTTTCACTTAAAACAAAAAACATATGTCCAAAATCTTGTTCTTTTTTGTTTTTCTTTTTGTTAAAGGATGCCATTGATGAGAACTTACCCTAACACCGTCGAGAATCGCATCGACCACTTGAGGAACCATTTGCCTCATCTCGTCCATCGACTTCCCCTGAAATATCGCATAATTGTAGTCGTTTCCGCCAATTTCGCCAACCATGAATAGCGCATGCTCAACACAATCTGCAACATTTGCTAATCAAAATCAAATCTATGTACTTCATATAAGGCAAAATTTCTTCTAATATCGTGACTTATTTCGAAATTTGCAATTTAATCACGATGTTTTCATTTTAGTAACTAATATCACAATCTTCAATTTGTGATATAATTTGCACGGGTTCAACAAATCGGTTCACCAATTTGCAACAAAATAAAGATTGTAAATATTTACAAAAGTTGATCAAATTGAAATTTTAATAAAGGTCCTGAAATTAAACAAGTTAGACGTTAAAAAATCGAATATCGATCGGACAATACCTGTGTTATTGCCGCAAGTCGAGTTCAGATGTGTCGACAACCAATCTAGCTGGACGGCGAGAGAGCTCCTTGTCACCGGCGACAAAACATGCATGGCGGCCAGCTTGTCGGATGACAAGGCAGTGGAACCCGCCACCGCGAAATTGACACCATGGCTGAATTCACCGTTCGGGTCCTTGTAGGCGTGAAGAAGGGGAAGCCCGGAAGCTCGTGCTGTTAATTTCGCCAATTAATCGAAAAAAAAAAACCAACAACACAACTTCCATTAATTAGTATACATCAAGAAACTGAAACTAATAACTCAGAAGAATTTGAAGAAAGTAAAAAGTTACCTATGAAATCAATCATGAGAAGGCCATTCGAGCAACGGCCGGTGGGTGTCCGGTAGAAGTCTCGGCCGTAAGGTAAGCGCGCGAAGGGAGTCGAGGCACCAATCGGCACCTCCCGAATCAAATTTCCGGTATCGGAAATCGAATCGCCTAATTGAAATATTTTGTCGAACCCGCAAATTCGAAGAGGATTAGCCTTGACCATTAGAGGAGAGCAAAAGCAGGACAAAATAAGCAAGAAAGTAACTATTTTTGCAGGAGCCATACTTGGGTAAAAGAAATAATCAAACACGAGATTATAATTTAGAACCTTTTTTTTTTTTTTGGTGTATGCATGAACATGAAAGGTTGTAGGTGCATTTATAGTAGTTGATGATCAGATAGTTTGATTAGGATTTGAAATTCTAATCAGACATGGAATAGGAAGGATATAGAATTGCATTTATAGTAGTTGATGATCAGATAGTTTGATTAGGATTTTGTAATTCTAATCAGACATGGATTAGGATGGATATTATTTAACTTTGTACACGTCTTACAATTATAGAGTCCTAAGTGATGACTAATATATAGTTGTATTCAAATATTGTTACTGCTCAACCAAGTCACTAACTCGGTGCTAATTAAAAAATTTTCTTATTTATTTTTTAATTTTATATTTGAAATACTTCTTAAAACTTGCATTATTATTTATTTAGTTTATATTTATTAATATAAATATATTATTGTATGTATAGGAATATTAAAATAATAACATATCCCATAAAAAAATATTTATTTATTACTCAAAAAATATAAATTGTACCGATATACCGTGTGACTCGGGTCGACCAACGAATTAGTCGGGCATAACTCTGGATATCGTGGCTGGCTATAAAATACATATATATATATATATATATATATATAAATTGTACCGATATCTAAAACGTGTGGCAAAACAAAAGCGTCTTATCTCCATTATTCGCTCCAACCCCTTCTTTCTAATCGGGCCTTTTCGCTCTCTGCCATCACAAAACCAGAGGAAAAAGAAGAAGAAAAGCTGAATCTCGTCCACCAATGGCGTCTTCAACTACACTATCCCCCACCATTATCCCTACTCAGGTACTTGAGCATCATTAAAACCCCCCATTTGTTCTCAACTGGAACCGCTGATTTTGTTTTTATTTTAATTTTTGCAGCTGAGCTCGAGCAAGAATGGGGTGAGCTCCGCCTCAAATTTCGCGCTTCCGAAGTTTGGAAAGTGTAAATTCAAGAGGATGAATGTGTCCTGTATGGCTACGAGTGTCCCGGCCGATGATCGCGTGCCGGACATGGGAAAGAGGCAGCTCATGAATTTGCTTCTCCTAGGCGCCATCTCTCTTCCGTCCGGTGGAATGTTGTTGCCTTACACTTACTTCTTTGTTCCTCCGGGGTAAGTTCTCTTGTTTTGTGATTTGTGGACTGAATTTGAAGTTTGGGGGTTAAATTGAGCTGTTTGGGTCTGATGATTGTTTGGATTAATTGATTGATTTGAGATGTGCTGCCCAGTTTTCAGTTACAATTTTTCTGTTTCCTAAAGTGTGCTGCTATCTTGATGTGTCTTGGTTTTTGTATATGGACTTGGAATTTCCCGGTTATTCGCCGATTAACGCCATTGTTTGATTTGTAATCGATTTTGCTACTTGATGAAATTCAACATCACCTAGATAAATTTGCTATAATGAGAATTCGGGGAGCTTGTGTTTGTGTTTTGCTATAGTTGGTACAGATGCACAGTTTGGGATATAAAATGATATTGCTCACTCTACTGACTCCACATTTGTGTTGAATTCATGCCCGTTTGTTCGTTAATAAAACGATACTCCCTGACTATACAAGATTCACTTTTAATTATCTAAGGTATTGAGTTTTGTCCAAGCACATTACTCTGGGCATTTGTTATTTGTTTCTGGGTACAACAAAATCCTTCTTCTATAGACTTTTTCAAGTTTTAGAACAAAGCATATGACTATTAGTGTCTTCACTCGTTACTTCTACTTATGTCACTAAACCTTGACCTAATCGGGATTTATCACGAGCAGTGGTCGTGGGTCCGGTGGTGGTACTGTTGCAAAAGATGCTTTAGGTAATGATGTTATTGCGGATGAATGGCTCAAGAACCACGGACCAGGTGATCGGACCCTTACACAGGGTTTAAAGGTAAGATATTCATTTACTTATTTGAATCAAGTGAATAGGGGAAACTCTGTAGATATTATAAGTTTATAATATTGTGTTGACTATTTAGTCTATGCTTGGTAAACCTAGCTGATAAACTAGCTACAACTGATAAGTTAACTGCTTATAAATGAATTTCGAGCGACTTATTGCTGACAAAAATCAGCTGAAATAAAATAGGCTTATTTGAAAAGCTACCGAACGAAACTTATGAGATAAGTTCAAGCTTTTTAGAAAAAACTCGTCCTACCGTACCGAACTTATTTGAATACAAGAAGTTTATAAGCTAACCAAGTAAGCTATATGGTAGTTTATGGTGCTTACCAAACACACTCTAAATTGGTTCTTAATGAAATCTTAGGGTGACCCTACGTACCTTGTTGTGGAGAATGACCGAACTCTCGCGACTTACGGTATCAATGCTGTTTGCACTCATCTCGGTTGTGTTGTTCCATGGAATGCTGCCGAGAACAAGTTTATTTGCCCTTGCCATGGCTCTCAGTACAACAATCAAGGGAGAGTTGTTAGAGGGCCTGCTCCTTTGGTAAGCCGATTAAGTTACAGTCGAGTGGAAAGCGAAAACAAAAAAAGCTAGTCCTTGTGAAGTTATAGTTTTGGCATGGAGGGATCTTTGGGTGTGGCTAGAAATACTCATTAGCAGGCGTCTAATTGTAAAAAATCCAGAATTAAGAAAATGAGTACCCCTGTATATGATTCTACAGTTTCTCCACACTTATTGTAAAAAATCCAGAATTAAGAAAATGAGTACCCCCTGTATATGATTCTACAGTTTCTACACAATTACTGTAAAAAAATCCAGAATTAAGAAAATGACTACCCCTGTATATGATTCTACAGTTTCTACACAATGTTTGCGAGAAATACCCATTTTTGCTCAGATGACATATGTTATGAGTACATTTTACTTACATTGTCTTATGTTCGGTTGCAGTCCTTGGCATTGGCTCATGCTGATATTGACGATGGGAAGGTCTTATTTGTTCCGTGGGTTGAAACAGACTTCAGAACTGGTGACAACCCGTGGTGGTCATAGAAGACTCAAATTTTCACCGGAAAGTGTATCATAACTCAGTATATTTGTATTTGACGATGTCTTCCGAAAAAAAAAAAATAAATAAATAAAATAAAATAAATAATGTGGTTATCGATAATTCACCAAAACAGTCCTGTTATTAATACGTTTTTGATCTGATACTATATATATGTACATCAAATTCAAGTTTAATGTACGAAAGTGTAATATCATGAGCTGGTTATGACGTGCAAGTTCAGAGACTGTCATAACTGGTTTTATTTGGAATGAGACAACTTCCTTATTCCGCAATGTATTCTTTCGGAAAACGCCTCCCAAAGATTACAATACGACCAAGAAAAGCGGACACAGAGTATGTGTATCTAACTGAAAACACTAGTATCTAGCTGAAAATTGTGTAATGTTGAGCATTTTCATCAACAAACTGTCATTATTGGCCTCAATTTTGTTACAATTACACACCTTAAGAGCTCATTGGATGTCCCGAGCACACTTGTGGTAGAATGACTTCCTAGCAACATCCTTCATGTGTTAAGACACTTTTCGCCTCCTTTAACCTCCCACATTTACAGAGCCCGATGATCTCTGAACTCAAGCCCGAAACATCACACGATATCGACTTGTACTCCATCTCGAACAAAACCTTTGTGAGCCCCTCCATGTCACCATCCTTAACATATCCAGAAATTAGACGAGAATATGTAGTCTCGTTCGGACCAAATTGTTTCTCCAACAAGACGGTCAACATCTCATCTGCCTCCTTCGTCCTCCCATTTTCGCAAAGCTTCCCAAACATCTCGTTAACAGCTGAGCAGCTCGGGAGAAGACCAAACCCCATCATCCTCGCGCAAAAGGCCAAACTATCCTCCAAACGTCCATGATATGCACAACTTTTTATCAGCCAATCGAACGTCGTTTGATCGGGCTTGAAGCCCAATCCTTCCATATCTTCTAGAAGCCCGATTGCCTCGTCAATCCTCCCTTCCTCACAAGATCTCCCGACGAACAAATCATACACAAAGGCATTTTCTTTAAAACCCCTCCTAAGCATTTGCTCGTAAGTCTCCTTGGCCAAATCCAACTCCTCCATTCTCACTTTAGCAAACACGACCAACGAGTACGCAATAGTATCCAAGATCATATTTTTATTCAACATTAGCCTCAACAATCCTAACCCACGTTCAATCCTACCGTCCTCCACAATCTCGTACACCAAACAAGTATTCACGATTGCATGAGGAGCCGGACGCTTATTCCCGTTCATTCTATCGACAATACGAAGAAACTTCTCCAACTTACCTTCTTTACACAAGGCCCCCACCATGGTTTTCACAGTCATTTCATTCGGTGAAACCCTTCTTCCAATCATCAGCTCGTATAAGCCCCAAACCAGGTGAACCTTGTCCGATTTCAACAGCACGTTCAGGACCGTATTTAAACTGATTACACTCAACGGGAACCCACGATCGAACAACAGCTTGCAAGCGTCGAGAATATCGTCAACCATCCTCAGCTTAGCACAAGTTTGCACGAACAAATCGAAAACGAAAGGAACAGAATCGACCGTACAGAAACTATCCATCAACGAATCAAGCACACAAAGTGTTCGACAATTATCCCCTGACAATTTTTTTGTTAAAACTGATTCGATCATGGCCTTGGCATCTCTGACCAGTCCGGTTTTCACCAGGATGTGTATCAACACGCAGTAGCTGGAAATCCCATGTTCGGCGCGCGATTCTTGGGCCGACCAGTGGAAGAAAGTGAGGGCTTTTTTGGAATTAACGGGCTCTTTGAGCTGGAGGAGTATTTTTCGAACAGTAGGGTTTGTGAACTTGACGGAGCCGAAATTTTCCGACAGGATTTTCCAACAGTGGCCTTGTTGCAGGGAATCGACGACGGAGGTGATGATGGGGTCGTCGTTGGCGGTGTTGGTTTGCGCCGGCCTTGTTGAGGTGGTGATTGGGGAGAGGAATGAAAGGGGATTAAGGATTGGAATCGGCCGGCGGAGGGTAATTTCTCGGAGTATATTAGGCATTTTTGGTTTTTCATCGGCGTCTCTGCTGCCGTCCACGGCGGTCAATCACTCGGGTTTTGGTCAGGCTTTGTTATCGGTGCGGGTTAAAATATGGGCCAGTTGCGATTGGTCATAAGAACTTTTCTCTATGTTCTTTTTTTTAATAAAAAATATATAATCTCCTTTTTTTTTTCTATATATTTCACTAACTTGTTTATCAATTTCATCAATTAAGTATTATTTATATAGATTAGGTTTAATACTACATTTATCTCAAAATAACAACATATCATATTAAGTTTAATTATTATATTTTACCTAATATCCATACAAACTCTTATATTTATCTATTTTTATCATCAAAAAATATTTTTTTTTTCTTTCATTTTTTCATCTATCTTTTCAAAAAATAATTTTTTTTTTCAAAAAATACTTATATCAAGCCGCATTACGTTATTATTATTTTATTACCTAAGTCTGTTGTGCTTTTGAAAATATTTATTCATTTTATGTTTAGAAAAATCTAAATCAACTATATCCTATTGATTGTCTTTATAGGACTGCAAACGAGTCAAGCGAGTAAAGCCAAGGGCATCATTTCAAGAGGCTCGTAAGTTCGACGAGCCACTCGACTTTTTTATTTACATAAATAACTTATATGACTTTTATTATCAATATTATAATATCGAGGCTAAAATTGTTTGTTTAGATTAAAAACGGTACCTTTAAATTTAATATTTAGTTGTTAAAATTTCAAGTCAAACTCGAGTTATAATGTCGAGCATCGAGTCGAGCTCGATTATTCTTATTTTTCTCACGAGTCGAGTCTAACATCACTTTAAATGGCGTCGAGCACGAGCTCGAAGAATGAAGAAAAAAAGTCGATTTCCACTGGACAATTTTCATACTCAACTCGACTCGTTGTCTCTCACAAGGAGATCGATATGATTTTTGTAGCCTATGTGACAAAGGGCTCATTCAATATTTTATTATGAACTATAATTTGTAAATGATTTGTGTGATTAAAAAATAATGTTCCACGAGAAAGGTTGGCATAATGTTTACTGGTTTTTTTATAATGGTTTTGTATAGTTGGATGATAAAATGGTTCCATAGTTCAAGTGCATTTTTTTTCCCGAAATGTCAGAATTCATTCACTAAACATATAACTATAACCGTTGTTATTAATCGGGACAGTAGACTATACACGGCAGCCTAGATACCATAACGCACACTACAATACGAATCAAGAAAAAATAAAAGTTCCTCACATGAGAATACACAAACTCTCCAAAGAGAAAACATGTTCCTCCAAAAATGTAGAAAACAAAACACAAGCTACAGAACAACACACCAACAAACACTACACGAACACAAAAACAAAACTAAACAAAGCTACTAAAATTAAGTCCTCCTCTTGAAGAAATTTATTTTAACTAGGTTATAAATATCTACATCTATATTTTAGAATTAAAGGCAGTAGGTGCAAATCAAGTGAAGTCATTTGTTCGTTGTTTTTCTATTTATATTTGTCTCCTTGTGATATAAATATTTTCTGGATTATTGTTATGGAAAGTGAATTTAGAATATACTTCCGATAAATATATCTAGAAATTGAATACCTAGGCATAATTGTTTAAAGATCTAATTTACGGATTTATGTGTAATGTTTTCAATTTGATATCGACTTTTTACTATAATTAGACTTAATTAATGTCAAAAGATAATAAAATTGACATTGTATTTATGTGTAAATCATGCAACCCAACTATTTTATAGTATGACGAGTCCACCATACAATTTGAAATGGTCACGAGCCGAATCGGCCTAGTCGAAACGGCTGACCATGCACCTTGAATCGGTCGGTGGTTTTACCAGGGCCGGTTCAAATTCATTTATTTATACAAATAAAACCACCGATTTTGACATGAAACCAGGATTGGCAATTCAACATACTTAAAAATTAATTTGGTTTTTTTTTTTTTTTATTATTATTTAATTATTGGTTCCACTTGAATCGACGGGGCAGTTCTAAACTAGTGAACTGTCGGTTAATTGAATCTACCCGCATGCATTATCAAGCCGGTTCGGTCCCGGCAGGGGCGGACTAGTGTGGGCCTAGGCCCACACTGTAAAAAAAATATGACTTAATATCCCTAAAACTTATAAAATAGTTTAATAGAAAGGAAAACAACATTAAGAAACGATAAAAAAAAAAACACAAAGAAGAAGAAAAGGGAGATAATGGGAAACTAAATTCTTATTCGTATTGATTTTGGTGATAGTAAGTATAATCTTTCTTTTATTAGGTTTTACCAAAAAAAAAAAGAAAAATTAAATCTTTTTAGCATTTTTTGTAGTTAATTAATTATTGTTTCTTAAAATTATCAAAAATACTAATATTGTATATTTAATGTCTCTGTGATTGATAATTTAAGTTGTAAGACTCTGTAAAAACTGATATATTAGATAAACCATATTATACATTATAATTTAATTTATATATCAGATTATGAAGTAATATTTCTAGAAAATGCCTCATAAAAAAATGCACGTATCAAAATGAGCTACTTTATGTTCAAATATACTTGTGATAAATACTAAATAGTTGGGCAAAAAAAAAAAAAAATACAATCATAAGTTTAACAGTGTTATATATAGCGATATCTAAATATAGAAACTCATAAGAATAACTATAAAAGTGAGTTTTTTTTTTTATACTTTTGTGATGATGTATATGTGTGTATATATTAGGGGTGTTCACGGTCCGAATTGGTTCGGTTTTAGCCCAAACCATGACCAAATCGGACCTAACGGTTAATTTTTTTTCTTGTTCATAATCGGACCGATTTTATTTTTTAACCGGCCACAATCCGAACCGCATTGGACGGTCCGATTTGACGGTTAACCGGTTAAATCCAAAATTCTTGTTTTGGATCTTTAATTTTTATTTTTTTCATTTTTGGCTTAATTATCATTTTTTAATTTTGGGCCCAAAAAAAATTATTTGGGCCTAAAAATTAAGAAAAACAAGAATAATGAAATAAAAAATATACAATTCGTCCCATAAGTATAAAAATACATATTTCGTCCCGTAAACATAAAAATATAAAAATAATGAAGATTAAATTAGCAAAAAGACCAAAAAGTTATAGTGAATGTATTGTATTTGTCGGCCATAGTGAATGACTGAATGTATATATATTTGTTATAGTTTTTTAACATTTACCGGTCCGGTCCTGTTAAACCGACGGTTTGCCGCATGTAATCCGTTAACCGGACCGATTATTTCGGATTTTTAAAAAAATTAACCACCGAATTTTTTAAGGTTTTTTTAACCGACCATTTAACCGATCCGCAGTCTAAATTAACTGCTTTTTTCGATTAAAACCGGACCGTTAACACCCGTAATATATATATAAAAAATAAATAGGTCTCCTCTCATTTTATGACCTAGATCCGCCGTTGGGTCCCCGAACCATTTTGGCCACCTCTATCATACAGCTCACACAATAATGTCTTACAATAATAATTTGTGGTGAAAAAATATACACGCAATCAAATATGGACCTCAAAGTCCCAAAGCTTATAGATAGATAGTATCCGTTCACGTGTCAGTCAATGGGGCGTGCTAGCAAACTTTCAACGTCTGCTGAGGAAAAACTAACAACAAAAAACAAAACACAGCCATACCTAACCATTCTTGCTTATAAAACTAGTCTATTGCCTCCACTCGTCTCCACCCCACCTCACTCCACTCTTCACACTAAATAAAAAACACAAAGTGCCAATACAAAGCAAAAAAAAAAAAGAAAATTACCATGATAACCCTAATCGAAAGCTCCCGAGTCGCGCCCCCGCCCGACTCGGTGCCCGACCGAACTCTCCCCCTCGCTTTCCTCGACATCACCTGGCTGCATTTTCCACCTCTACGTCGCCTTCTCTTTTACAAACTCCCGTTTTCCGAATCCCACGACTCGGATAATAACCTAGTATCGAGACTCAAACACTCTCTATCCTTAACCCTCGAACACTACTTCCTTCTAGCTGGCAACTTAGTTTACCCTCTTGACACTGAAAAAAACATGCCCATTTTCCGTTATGCGTCCACTGACTCGGTCCCCGTGTCTGTTTTTTGCTCCTCGTCGGCCCACGATTTCGACACTCTCGTCGGGAATCAACCGAGGGAAGCTGACATTTTTTACGATTACGCCCCTCGGCTCTCGCCGACGGCCTCGTCGTCCGACGGCACGCTCCTCCAAGGGTTACTTGCGGTGCAAGTAACCCTTTTTCCTGGCCGAGGAATATGCATTGGCGTAGCCAACCACCACGTGATCGGCGATGGCACCTCGATCGTGGGCTTCATTCGGGCATGGGCCTCGACGTGCAAACTTGGAGTGGTTCAAAGTTCTCGTCCGATTTTTGAGAGGGACCTCATCAAGGGCCCACCAGGATTGGACTCGATTTATTGGGACAACATGAAACGCGTCCCGTTCGGTTCGTCATCGACTAATCCCCTGCCCACGAACAGGGTTCGGGCGACTTTCGTTCTCGACCGTGCCCGAATCAATAAACTCAAGGATTTAGTGGTCGCCAAATTTCCGAGCTTTTCCCACCTGTCGTCTTTCGTCGTGACTTCAGCATACGTTTGGACGTGTCTTGCGAAATCACTTTCGACTAACGAGGAGTTTGAGAACAGAGTAAATGATGATGAGATGGAATTTTTCTTGTTTCCAGCGGATATTCGGGCCCGTCTCAGCCCGCCATTGCCCGAGAGCTACTTCGGCAACTGCTTATCGGGAGGCGTGCCAAAAATCCGGCACCATGAGCTAATCGGCCCGGACGGGTATTTATTGGCGGCCCGGGCCATAGCCGATGAGATAAAAAACAAATTGAATGGTATGGATAAAATCACGGAATGGTTCGAGAATGCGCCGAAGACTATAAGGTCGATTTTGGGCAAGCGTTTGCTTTCCGTGTCAGGATCGGCTAGGGTTGATTTGTACGGTGCGGATTTCGGGCTTGGGAGGGCCCGAAAGGTGGAGACTTTGTCTATCGATGGGGAGAAATATTCGATGTCGTTGTGTAAGCCGAGGGACTGTGAGGGAGGTTTGGAGGTTGGTATGTCTTTGCCTAAGGAAGTAATGGATGTGTTTGTTGGTCTTTTT